GACAGTTGGGGCTACGTAACCGGAACGACCCAGACTTATATCTGGCAAAGGACTGTCACTCCAGCAACACTCCCCAAAAACTCTTTGGGGAATTTGTATGCTGCTACAACAACAACAAAATCACGTAGGTACAACAAAAATATATTGAACATTAACAGGTCTATGCTGCATGTTACCGATGGTTTTGTAACCGGAAATTTTATTACCTAAAAATGTTATCATTTCCTGTCACCGCGATTCTAGGCATGTTGGTAATGCAGTCAATATATTCAGCAATTCAGCTATGAATATTTGTGGAAATTCTAGCATTGCATATTTCACGGGGCAATATTTTTTGTTACCAGCTTATGAGACGGTAACAAAATTTACCGGTTACGTGAGTATATAGAAAACGAAAAAGGTTTAAAATGTGATAGCAACTTTACCGTTTAAAAAATGTTTGTTACCAGCATAGAATAGACCTGTACTTAAGTGCCGTTCTCTTAAGTAGGTTTTAAAATTTAAAAACAAGTTTTCGTTTAAATCATATAAAATTTTTAAACCTTATTTGAGAAAACGGCCGAAAATCTTTTCATTTAAGATCTAAACTGACGATCAAGTGTGAGTGCATTTTGTTTTTTCTTAAATTTGTAACGTTTTCCAAGTAAACATTTTTGTTTTATTTTTATAAAAATTTTGGTTCAAGCTTTTATCAAAACCACATAAGTCAAACTTTCAAAATTTATTCAGAACTTGGAAAAATTCAACGAATTTTCGACTAAATTTTAAACTTTTTAAAATGAGTAAGTAAGCAGATAGATCTTTTTTTTTAATTGTGGTAAAACAAGTGCCAGTTTTAAGCGGCTGAAAAATCGCATCGAGTTTTAACGATTTTTTACTGATCATTTGCAAACAAAATTAAAAAACTTAACGCTATATTATTATATGCACAAAATCGCAAAATCCGAATCCGAAAAAAAAATTCATTAAAAATCAACGCGATTTTTTAGCCGCTTAAAACTTGTACTTATTTCAATAGAATTACATAGCCGGCCTATCTGCGTACACAAAATTTTTGTAAAAAATTCAGATTAAAAAGTTAAAAAGATGAAAATTGTTGAATTTCTCTACGTTTTGCATAAAGTTTGACTTAAGTGGTTTTGATTAAAGCATGAACCAAATTTTTATAAAAAATAACAAAAAACTTCAACTTAAAAAATTGCTGAAAAAGACACATTCTGGTAGGAGTTAAAGGGTTAAAATATTCCAGAGCCAATAAATATACTCGATGTTGTTTTAGACATAAAATTACAAATTAAATTTGGAGTTTTGACTAACAAGTGAAAATTACCCATTGTTAAAAGAATTATCATGAAGTAGGTAGTTTCGTAGTATATGTAAAAGTTCTTTCACTTCAGTTAGTCGACAAACTGTTTCCTTTCGACGCTCGCAAATAACTAGTCCACCAAACGTTCCTTTTCGATTTTTGAACTAGACGACGTTGAGCGGTTAGTCGAAAGGAATAAATTGGCATTGTTGTGACGTCACAAAATTTCCCTCAAGGAGTATCTGACGAATCTGCTAGAGTGACAGTCCTTGGTCAGATGGGTACTTATAAGCACCTTGTCGTGGGATCATTTCTTTTTAGTTTTGTAGTCGTAATGCGAATGCTACTTACCCAAAAAAAAAAGAAGAAAAACGTTGAAGAACAGAGGTCAGTGAGCAAAATTTTGCGATTTTGTATGTAAACGTCAGCGAGTGATTAAGATTATACCTACTTTTATTGTTGCCGTCTTGTTGTCAGCGTTTACTTAGTTACATAAGCACGCATAATTTTAGAGACGCAACAGTTTGTCTAGCTAGCTGTTTGGTTAACTCTTCGTTTTTATGCCATTGAGTACAATAACCCCAAGGCGATCGAATACACAGCAGTAATTTATGCGTGAATCTCAATATGTGATAGATATGTAAATAAATGTAATCAAAGCCATTTTTTTGTTTATGTAAAACTAAACATTTTATCATTTCAATGTAGCAAGAGACTCTCCTTTAACATCCACTAGATTAATTTGTGAAAAACAACACGCTCCGGCGGCGAAATGCAAATTTTCCTAATATAATATTCAATTATACAAACGAAAAATGTATGTTTGCAAAACAGATAAAGAAATCGAAGCACACAAAACAAAAAAAAACTTGGCAACTGTCGGTGATTGACCCGTGCGAATAGGATAGTAGAATCTCGGCCAGTGACATGGCGACACACAAAGCATGGCGCGACGAACCGAAAAGTTGGCATACAAAAAGTGATAAAAATAAAATAAAACAGAAAAAAGCTTTAATTGATAATACCTAAAACATAAGAAAGACTGCAATTAAGACTAAAAGGAATTTTCGTAGTGTGCTTGGCACCTTGAGAGCTTTTTCTGTCTTAAAAAAAGAGTTAAGAGATTAATTTGAATTACATAAATAAAAATGTGAAATTTACATACAGTGAGTCACTTAAGTAAGTATACACCTCAATGGAAGTTTCAAATTATTTGAAAATTGCACCGAATTTTAAAATCGAGCAGCATTTTTTACAATACATATTAAAAGTGTAGCATGCGTCATCATGTACGCATCAAAATAACGGGATATTTGTGTCCCGTTATCCTCAGCAAACAATTTTCAAGAGCATGTGCAGAAATTGTATCACATAAGTAAGTATACAGAGAACGTTTGTTTGTTGAGCATCGAATTCGCGTGAGTTAAATAAAATCAATTTTGTAAAAGTAATACGGTTATTTTCTAAGTAAGTATTACCAATACTGAAAAAATTCAGTTCATATAATATTTACACTAATATTCCAGCAATGGCGCCAAGAGGAAAAGAACTTTCAAATGACCTTAAAAATGTGATAATAAAACATTATAAAGAGAATAAATCTTTGCGGGAGATTGGAAAAATTGTTGGTAAAAGCCATGCTACAATTCAAAAAATAGTAAATAAGTTTAAAATATCAGGGACTATTGAAAACAATCTACGTTCTGGCCGTCCTCGTATATTTAATGACTATGAGACCCGTGTAATCGTTCGGAAAATAAAGGAAAACCCTAAAACAAGTGCTCCAAAAATAAAAACTGAAGTTGAAAATGAAATGGGAAAACAATGTAATGCTCAAACGATCCGCCGCGTATTGTATTCTGCAGGTTACCACGGGCGAAATATTAGAAAAAAGCCCTTTGTTAGCAAAGAAAATCGCCGAAAACGGATCGCCTTTGCTAAAGAATACCAAAGATACGATCATATATTCTGGAACAATGTGATTTTCTCAGACGAGAGCAAATTTAATATTCATGGGTCGGATGGACGTGAAAAGGTCTGGCGAAAAGTCAACAATGAGCTAAATCCGTCCAACATGACCGGTACTGTTAAGCATGGAGGGGGCTCCGTAATGGTTTGGGGATGTATGGCGGCCAATGGAGTAGGTAATTTGGTTATAATTGATGGTATAATGGACCGATATGCTTATTTAAACATCCTTAAAAATAATTTGAAAGAAAGTGCTATAAAATTGGGTATTGAGGGGTCATTCATCTTCCAGCAGGATAATGACCCCAAACATACCGCACTCATTGTTAAGGAATGGCTCCTATATAACGTTCGAAAACAACTTAAAACCCCACCGCAGTCACCGGATGTTAACCCAATAGAACATTTATGGGAGCATCTGGAACGCCAAATACGAAAGCATGATATAAGAAATAGGGAGGACTTAAAAAAAGTTCTAATGGAAGAATGGTACCAGATATCGCCCACTACCACACAAAACCTGGTTAAATCTATGCCATCACGGCTTAATGCTATTATAAATTCCAAAGGTTACCCAACAAAATACTAATTAATGTGTTTTAAATGCAATAATATTATTTTTATTAAATTACAATACTCCTGTATACTTACTTTTGTGATGTGAATTTTAGATAATTTTACTTTAGCTTGCATTATTGTTTTTTTTTTCTTATAAAATGAAATATTGTTCTTAGCACATTAATTTTATGTTTTTGTAAAATTAATAAGAATAAATTTTCTTTTATTTTTGGCATAACTATTGAACTTATTTAACAATGAAAGAAGGATTGGACGCTGTATACTTACTTAAGTGACTCACTGTACATATATACGTACGATCATGCTTTTCTATTTACATATACATATTTTAATTTTATGAACGTATGCAACTGTAAATATAAATGCTCCTTTTTAAAATCCAGAACTGCAAGGAGGAAATGCATGCGCAGCAGGCAGCGCTGCGATGACCGTAGCAGAGGCGGCGCAGCGTCGCAGCCCATATCCAACACACAACGACTGCGCGTGAATCGCAGTCGATAATTGTAGTAACGCGAAATACAGTACATATGTACATATATATGTGCGCTGCACACAAAAGAAAGCAAACAATCAAGAAGTAGAAGACAGAAAATGTAAAAGAATAGAAATCAAACAAGAAAGCAAAAAATACAGCACAAAGCAGAGCCAAAAGAGAATACGCAAATTGAAAAGGGGACAGGGAGGTAACAGCAGCCGCAGCGGCGAAGAAAAAAATCAATTCAAGCGGCGGCAACGTCGACTGCGACTGCGAAAGACGTCAGCTGCGGACAAACATCACAGTATTTGGGATTTGCAACTACCGCTTCTTTATTTAATGCTTTTGGAAGCGCATAAAAACTGCATTTCGAGTGTTGTCGACGTTTCCGAGCGCATGCACAATGTATGGGGCCTACTTTGGAGCGCCAATTACTTGCCGGCCGGGCGGCATTTAAATATAGCTATGAAGAAAACCTGCCCATACAATTACTGCAAAAATTATTGGAAAACTAATTCCTAAACATACAATTAGCGTGCATACGAACACACGCAAGCAAATAAATGGACATTATGGAATTTAGTAGCAGCAGCCACGAATTCACATTCCAGTCAGACAAAGGTCTGTTGCTGGCTGGCGGCGACCGGCTGCATGTGAAAATTTTTATTTTACCTTTTTTGTTTTTGCTGCTTCTACTGCGTTCACTGCATTCACAACTCCTTTTTAGTTAGTTCTTCTTCGCTTTGTATGGGCTTTCTATTACTTTTGTTTCTCACTGTTTTATACATTCCTCATTTTATGTATTCCTCAATCGGCGTCGCAGACGTGGAAGTCAAAACGTTACAAAATGCAATTAGAATCCAGTAAATCTCGATAAAGGGTTCCTTTCTTCCTTTTATTTATGGAGACACACGCACACTAGTATTTGTCGCGTAAAAAGGGGCGTTTTTTAGGTTTTTATAATTTCAGAACATCACTTGAAACTTAATTTGTTTTATGCAAGAAACTCACTGTACGGCACTGTTTGCAGTTATTCGCCAAGTAATTCTGCACCGAGTAATTTTGAACACGCACTATAAAATTCTTGATTGCTGCGTCTGACAAGACACAGGCAAAATTACAGCAAAAACACAACTTAATTTTTATTTGTTTTTTGCAGTTATTTCCACACCAATTCTTAAGTGCAGTAGAAAGGGGGAATTAAAATCGGCAGACGCAGCGTCAAAAATGTTGGCGTGGCGCACTAACAAATTTTCGATAAACTTGCAAATTTTAAGTAACAAACACCTTTTCTTCCTCAAAAAAGTTTGCTATTGCAATCGCTTTTTGTTAATTTGCTTCAATTCTTTGCTGCGAATCCTAAGTTCGCAATTTGCAGCTAATTATTTAAACCGCTACTGGTTCTCTGAAATCGAATTTTTTCACAAGACACAAAGTTGCGTTGCTGCCGCTGGCACTAAATATATAGCGTTTGGTTCGATACCGCGTTGTACTGCGACACTGATTGCACAAACACTTGGCTTCTTTAATATTATATGAATAATTCAACAAAGAATTTAAGTTACTTTTTCACAAAGAAATTCGCTTTGTAATTATCCGCTGAGCTTTGCAAACGATTCGAACACCACCATTAAATTTTTATGAGTGAATTTGCTATTTGGCCAGCGCCGCTGTTTGGCCATTTTCGCTGTCGTCGTCGCTCGCATTGTTGCCTTCGTGGCCATCGTTCGATTTTTCCCTATTTCCTTTTAAGCGCTCTTCGTGCATGGACATATGTGTTGCGCTCTCGCTTTTTCGCACGCGCCGTTGTATGTCGGCTTCGTGCAGAGGCACTGCTGTTGCATTGCTTGCGCTATTTCTCAGCTGTTTGGAATGAGCTCTTTGAGTGCGTTTCGAATGGGAAAATGAGCAGAACGTCTACGCTTTGAGTGAGTTGGGTGCAATTGAGTGTGCGGCTGAAACGCCGATGCAATTACCATAGTTGCCAGCTTAGTGTTTTATGCAACATATTTAGTGCTTTTTGAAAATTAAAATGCCAAAAAAAAAGTCATTTAGTGCCTACCCTGCAAAAATCGCGAATACTTCATGCATGCGTGTAAAAAGTACTCCCTAAGGACCAAAGAGTACTCCAAAATTAACCACAATTCATATAAAAAATATGGTCCAATTAACATTGCGATGTCCTAGGGCAGGACCATATACTCCATCCCTGCATTACATCAGAGTAGCACAAAACTACTCCAACATATTAACAATGGCATTGTTGTTATATTTTTTCGTTCGTACACGCTTTTGTTCTTCACTTCTCAAATGCTTTTTCGAAATTAATAAAAACCAAGACAAAAATTAAAAATTACATTTTGCCTCTGACGGCATTCGAAACCGAACATGCTGGGAGCTAAGAACTAACAGCGAGCATCTCTACACGTTCAGCTACAGCCAGACATGCAAATGTGCTTTCAAATGCTCAACTTCAATCACATTTCGTTAAAACACGAGCAGTTATCGGATAACAAATAATAAGCTGGCGCAGAGACACGAGTTGGTCCGCTACAGCATGACAGAGGAACACTTTTGTAAGTACTCCAATTTACCACAAATAGACTACATGGTCCAACGATTTTTGCAGGGTAGTGCCTTTTTACTACTTATTTTCTGAACTAAATTTTCTCCGAGGTAGTACTAACCTGAAATAATTTGAAATATCTAAAGCTGTGACAACACAAAAGCTGATCTTGTTGAATTCTATTCACGTTGAAAATGCTAGCACGCAGATAAGTCAAAGCATGTGTATAGGCGATTCAATCGTTATGACCGTAAAAGTTTTGTGTATTGATTTTTGTATGTATACTTGTACAAATTGTTAATTTTTTTACTTTTGTTATATATAAACTGTGATGAAAAATATCCTTTGATTAAATAAATTTGGTGATTTTAGTGTGGTAAAAGGCCTTTTTCCAAGTTTTTGGTGCTCTCTGAATATAAAATGATGGCAGCACGGGCAATTATAATTTTGTCGAGTGGATTTTGAAAGCAAGAAGTGTGGTTGTGGCGCAGAGTTGCATGCGCTGGTGTGCCGGAAGTTAGTGTGGCTACGTTTTTATACCCTAGCGTACTTGTGCACAAGTTTGTTCACATAACGGTTGTTTGTAGCAGGCAAAACGAATCGAGATAGATATGCACAAATGTATACATTAAGCGGAGACCATCTGTTCGTCCGTCCGTCTGTGCACACGATAACTCGAGTAAAAATTGGGATATCTTAACGAAACTTGGTACATGTACTTCTTTCGGGCGTAGGACGGCTGGTATTGAAAATGGCCAAAATCGGACAATAACTACGCCTGTCTCCCATATAACGGTAGTTTTAAGAAATCCGAAAACTGCGATATTTTAGTAACTAATGAAGATTATTCACGCAAAATTGCTATTTACAATAATTTTTAACGAAAAACAAGAACATTATAATTTTTTGGAAAATGGGCGTATCCACGCCCACTTAAGGTTACATGTGTATATCTTGGTAATCGTTTCACTAATTTCTCTCAAACTTGGCACAGTTATGGGCCTTAGTACAAAATACCAAATAGCCGAAAATGTTTAAAATCGGATAATAACCACGCCCAAATCCCATTTAACGGTAATTTAGAGCAATACGAAACCTTCGATAAATCAGTAAATACTAAAGCTAATTTATTCAAAATTGATGCCTGCGAATTTTTTTTTGCCAATAAATACGATTATGATGAAATTTTGGAAAATGGGCGTGGCACCGCCCACTTACGATAACATATATGTATCTCGGTAACCGTTCTACAAATTTGTACCAAACTCGGTATAGTTATTGTTGTTGTCACATAAAAGCAAACCATTGGAAATTATTGAAATCGGACTAAAATTACGCCCACTTTCATATAACGGTAAATTTCAGAAATGCTTTAAACTTGGGACATTTCGAAATTTAAGGACGCTAATTTACTAAAAAATTGATATTAACAACAATCCCTTGAAAAGAAGTAATATTATTATGGTATGTTGGAAAATGGGCGTGAGACCGCCCACTTATAACTGTATAAGTTTATCTCATTATATCTATCAAAAATATTTAAAGTAGGGGTAAAACCAACCCTGATTACAATGTAGTGGGAGTTTTCGGAAAGGTGAAAAACATATATTTAATATCTGCACCGGGTATTTAATGTTCGACTCCGCCCGAACTTAGACTTTCTTACTTGTTTCGAATAGCATTACAAATTTAACATAGCATACATAAATTGTAGGCTTACTTTTGTGTGGAAGCCTTAATTTTTATTCTCTAATATCTAAGTAGAATGCGAAAATAGTTGTAAGATTTTCGGCAAAGAATTAAACTCAATTAATAAAAAATATGTATGTATGTGTGTTTATATATGATGTAATGATTAAGAAATAATTTCGATTGCTAACTAGATATTTTTTTGTGATTGCATTATATTTGGAAAAATTCCGACTTTTTGTTATTTTTTGGCCTAATAAATCTTATTAAATTTTTTTTTATATAAAACGGCTGTAATCTCAATAAAAAATGTATATTAAAAAAAAATCCATCAAAACAGCCTCCTAGGCGCGGTGCGAGGTATTATCCTGTATTACCTAGGTTCGGGACCAATTTTTGTCCCCAGGTAAATGCGTTTATTGAGCCTCGGGAAATAGCAGATAATGGGAAGAATGCTTGGAATAGCCCCGTTTGTTGTTGTTGTTGTAGCGCCTTGCCTAGCCCTGCCTAGATTTTATAGTACTTCAACCGCCAAAGTCGAGCCTAAGGAAACGTGTGTTCTAGACGGGGTCGGAACAAAGGAAGATAGGTGCTACCTGAGTGGGCATATGAAGAGGTTGTTAGTGTCGTGGGGGAATCTTCACATTTTGGACACTCATTGGGTATGTCACGGCCAACTCTGGAGAGGTAGGAATTGAGACGGCTACAAAATCCAGACCGCAGCTGGGGCAGAGTTGCGCTAGTGTCTCTCGGCAATTGATTCCCAGTCTGTACAGTTCAGGGTACAGTGGTTGTTGTACGTACTAGTGTTTAGATCAGTGACATTTTTTAATCGTTGTTCATTTTGAGGAAACTTTTTGCAGCAGGATTGCTTGGCATCCTTCCGCTCCGTTTTCTCATTGAGTCAATACATGGACTAAAAACCTATTTCAGCTGCGTATGCCAGAGGAGACTACACCCGAATTCCGCTTCGGTTAGGTGCAACACTTGCAACGGCTGGAATCACCTAAAACACCCAGCAGCTCACCCGAGCAACATAACGCCAATTTTCCCAACCACCACCCGCTCCAACTAATCGTGCGATCTTGGTCCCTTATACGGTCTGTTCCGTGTTGCACTCCAGGATGTATCGTAAGTGCGACGTCAATAAGCTGCAATTTGAATTGAAAATTGTGATTCATCGGGGATGATGTAAAAAAAAAACAAATTCCAAATAAAAAAAAAATATATATATATAAAACTGTCATTCATATTTTCTTAAAAACATTTTTTAATGCGAAATATTTTGTTTAACAGGCAATTTTATAATTTCAAAAAAATATTCCTTCCCCAAGAAATCATTTTTTGCAATGTTTGATGTTTATTTTTTATTTTGATAAAAATATCTGTTTTCTTCCGAAAATATACACTTTTTTAATTATTGGACATTACTTTTTTTAAATCCTTACAAAAATTCTTCCTCCCAAAAAATGTCTTTTCACAAATAAGAAGTAACTTTTTCAAAAAAATTTTTTTTTTCAGGAAAAGCACTTTATTTAAAATGAAAATAAATGAAAATTATTATTTTACTGAAAAAAAAATTCCCAAAAACATTTCACACAATAAACATTTATTCCTCTCAAAAAATTTATTTTGTCAGTTTTATTTAATATTTGGTAAGTATACTATTTCCTTTAAAATTGCCATTCATATTTTTTTTCTTAAACATTATCTAAAACATTTTTTTCTAAATTATTATTAAAATATCTTCATATGTACGTATGTGTGTATGTACATACATACATATGTATACGTATTTACATACACATACATATATTAAAATTAGGCAATTTTATAGTTTTCTTCAAATTTTTTTCCCCAGAAAACATTTAAAAAAATCTAAATCTTTCTTTTTCTGATATGCCAAAGATATGGGGAAAAAACAACTTTTTGGATGCATCGCGTTTTAAAGACAACTCGCTTTCCTCTTTGCTACTCATGATCCCGTCTAACGACTGCTTCTTCCGGACTCACATATAATTAAGTGTAGGAGAAAAAAAATCTTACCCCTATTTTTAGTTAAGCAGTAAAATTTCAATTCATTTCCGCTTTGAGTAACACCTAAAATAAAAGTATACTTACTCATCAGGGTAGGGTCGTCCTTAAAAATATCAGAAGCTAAATTTTGTATTCGGCACCTGTTTATTATGTTCTTCATACAAAATATAGACATCCACGAAAATTTAAAAATTTTAAATATATTTTTAGGATTTGAAAAAAATTTTATACTAAAATCGCAACAGTTCGACGAAATTTTTACTTGAAATGTCTTAAATTTGACATATTAGCAACTTTTTTATACATATAAAATCATAAACTCGCTAAATTTTGGCTTGTCAAATTCATAGTTTTGCCG